ACTAGAGTTAAACTGCCCGTGTTGAGATCCTGACTTTGTCCGTTTCCAGCTATGTCATCCTGGGCAGGAGACAGTCGCCCTGACTCTGCGCCCCCTTGTGGAGAAATTAAGAACTGCTACTCCACACGCAGGGTAGTGAGATGGGTATAAAGCCCTGCCACGGCTCTGGGAGAGCCTTTCACTACCAGCATCAGATGAAGCTGAGACCTGCTGGACCAGCAGAGGCGAGCCAGGCAAAGGCTGGGGGAAGAACACTTCAGTCCCTGGAAACAACAAAGGCTCTGGGGCAAGAGAAGAAAGCCTGGCACCCTGGCACGCTGGAGACCACTACGGCTGTAGCACACTAATAGCTGACTAGCGTGGTGCTGGGCGCCACACAATGCACTTTCTTTTTGCCTGTGTGCTCACTGGACCCACACAGCAGCCCCGTGAGGCAGGTGCTGTTATCACACTACAGTAACACAGAGGTGGCCCTGAGGTTCAGAGGGGTTGACTAGTCTAAGGCCACAGAGATCATGAGTGGTAATGTCAGCATACGAAGCGAGGCAGCCTGACCACTACTGTCTGGGGAGGCTGGTAAGAAAGGTGGGGTCCAGCCATGAGGCACAGCAGATAAACCAGTTAACTGAGTCCTCTGTATGTAGGATACTAAGGCCACCCAAAGCCACTCCCTCCTGGGGTCTGAGGCACTGTGCCCTCAAACAGCCCAGTGCTGAGACCTGGCTTTGCTTCCAGCTCAGAAATGTCAGCAGCCTCATCAGAGACCTCGCCTCCTGGGAGAGCTGGCCAGGGAGGCCAGGGAGCGTGATTAAGCAGGCTTTTTCTGGCTTCGTAGATCCGGGGACCAGAGGGCTTGAGCAGTGATATGGTCTCCCAGGCACTGGAGGTGTGGAGCCCTGAGGGAGGCCATCCTTCCCCAGCATCAGTCATGGCCACCCCAGATTCACTGTCTCTGGAGAGAAACAGTAGCCATTTCTTGAGCCCTTACTGAGCGCAAAGTACACATGATAAGTGCTTCATCAAAACCATTTCCTTTCATCCTCACATCTCTCTGAAGGAGTACAACTGTGGTCCCTATTTTACAGATGGAGACTGGTGTTGATGTTGGGAAAGCTTCTCTGAGGATGTGGCATGTCAGCTGACATCTAAAGAACCATATCCCCACAAAGACCTCCAGGTAGCAGGGGCTGATCCAAAGAGGGGGAAAATGGCCAGTGGAGCTGAGGGAGGGAGGGAAAGGCGAGCCCTGTCACCCAGCTTCCCACCAGCCAGCCTGGGCAGAGGCTGGTGATACAAGTCAAGATTGGACTAAACAGAATGCTGCAAGACCTAAACCAAAGCCCTAATACTCTCCTCCTGGAAGCCTGGTATTATGAAAAGAAACTGGGCTTTGGACTCCAGAGCTCCAAGTTCAGACCTCACCTCTCTGAGCATCAGTTTCTTCACCTGTGATGAGAGAAAACTACCAGTAGGTACCTTGCAGTATGGCTATATTAAATAATGAGTGAGTGGGCACTGTAGATTATAAAGTGCTTCATAAAATGAAAGCGGCTGGGTTCCTTAAGACACAAGCCAAGAGGGAGATGGACACATACAGTTAGGAGATCAGTAATATCAATCTCCATTCATCCCACAATACACACTGGACACCAACCACTTGGACACTGGACAGGACACTGGCACCCTTGGTAAGGCTGCCCAACAGCTGGATCAGAGAAATAACATTACTGCGAATTTGCACAGACCAAGCTCTAGGTGCTCCCTGATTTCCAACGGGGCAGGGACTCCAGTTACCCACTTGCTAAGCTCAGAGAAGTGAAGTGACTTGGCCAAGGACCCACTTGCTTCTTGGGGTGGAGGCTGAGAAACCGACTCAGGACACCTTGACAATCAAGGTTTCCTTCCTCCTCTTCTCCCTGAGCACTAACATATCTGCCTGCAACTGAGGGGACAGGAAGGGAGGCAGAGTCAGGCAAACGTCTCCCAAGTGAAAGGAAGGGCAAGCAGGCAGGGAGAAGGGTGCCCCGCCTGCCCCAACAACCCAACCTGTCTGCTACAATACAGCCTCCCAACCTTCTCCCAAGGCACTACCTCCTGGCTTCACCTTGATCAGGTAAAACTGCACCATCCAATACAGCAGTCAGCAGCCACCTATGGCTATTTCAATTTAAATTCATTAAAATTAAATAAAGCCCAGCCAGCATGGCTCAGTGGCTTAGCATCAACCTACAAAAAAAAGCTTTTTTGTAGACATAACGGGACGTCAAAGCACAAAACACAATATCCAAAATACGCTGGTCACATAGTACTCTGTGGTTGTCTGCCCTCGTGATCGTGTGGCTGACTGAGAGCTGTAACCTGCTGCCTCTGTCCAGCACAACCACATACTGCTAACCCGGGAAAAGATCAAAATTCAAAGTAAGGTTTCTAATGAATGTGTATCACTTTCACTCCATTGTAAAATAGAAATATTGTAAGTCAGACCATCATAAGTTGGAAACTATCTGTACAGTGAAAATTTCAGTTCCTCAGTGGAACTGGCCACATTGCGAGTGCTCAGTAGCCACATGTGGTTGGTAGCTACTGTACTGGACAGCCCAGATATAGAACACTTCCATCATCACAAGAAGTTCTAGGACAGCTCTGACCTAAAATCTTCGTTGACTAAATGCTACTACTCTTTCCCTCCATTAAAAAAAAAATTTAAAAAAATATTGCCCTGGCCAGTGTTCTCAGTGGTTAGAGCACTGGCCCACGCATGGAAGAGTAGCAGGTTCAATTCCTTGTCAAGGGACATGTACTTGGGTTACAGGTTCGATCCCCAGTCTGGTCTGGGAGCGTGTGGGATGTCACTCCCACATCAATGTTTCTCTCTCTCTCTCCCCTCTCCCCCTTTAATAATCAATGGAAAAAAATATCCTTGGGTGAGGATTAAAAAAAAGTAGCATTTTTAATTTTAGAAAGGACAAGTAGGAGAAATAAAAGTGGAGAAGAAAAACCAAGACTCCAAAAATACATAAATTTTTAAATATACGTACATAAAAAGAAGGATTCTGGAAGACCTCCTCCTTTCCCCCACTCCTACCCCCAAAATGAAGGAGGGAAGTCAAGAGGGAAGGGCGTCAGGGAGACTGAACCAGAAGGAAGCTGATTTAATCAGTCACAAATGACCTTTCCCTACACCTGCCCCAGTTCTGCCCACCTCCCGCCCCACTGGTCCAGCCAATGGGCTCCTGGAACTGAGATCAGCTATGAAGGATCTGATTGCTCAAAAAAAAAAAGTGACAGTGACCCACCCCTGGCCCATCCTCTTCACCCTCCTCCAGTTTCTCCTCACATCTAGAGCTTCTTCCCACAGCTTCTAGCTTCCCTTCCTTCTGGACTGGAGAGTCAGAGGGTCAAGCCCAATCCCACAAGTTCTTGACAGGTTTCCCTCCCAAAGTCACCTTTCTTCTCCCTCCCTTCCCTCCACCCTCACTTTCAAAAGCAGCCAACATTCCTACTGCCCTTATCATATGCCAGGTCCAGTTCTTAGCATTCTACATATTTAATTTTCCCAACAACCCTATGAGGTGCCACTGCTAGCATTTTACAGAGGGGGAAATTAGGTGCAGAGAGCAGCAGGTCCCTGCCCAAGGCTACAAAGCTGGAAAGCGGCAGTTTAGGGGTATGAATTAACGTGATCGAGCTTCATAACCTTCTAAATAACCACTCTCTTATTGTGAGATTTTAGTTCAGAGCCTACTGCAGCCCACGGGGGCTTCCGATAAGATTTCTGTTTCTAAGAAATGTGGCCAAGTGCTTCTGTCGGCCTCTTTTCTTCTTCTCCTCCTCCCATTAATTCAACAAATATTTAATGGATCATCTCCTCTGTAGTGTGAGGAGATGACATGGTCCCTGCCCTGGCATTTGATTAGGGGACACAGGATCAAAAGACATTTTTATGCAAGTCATCTTAAAATCAGAACTGCAGCAAAAGAGCAAAGAAGTACGGGGCACTATTTTAATAAGCCCGTAACGGGAGATCTGATCTCTTTTCTCTTTGAAGGGGAGGGGTCTTTACCAACAAGAAAGTCTTTCGTCTTAATAAGGCTGTTTCACTCCCCAACCCCTGAGGCAAAGGTCTCGCTTCTTCCCAGGTCCCTCCAAGCGGCCATCACTCCCCTGGGGAGGGATGGCAACTAATGAGAAACCCCCTCACTCTCTCCAAGCTGTCTCTGTCTCTCGGGGCCCCCAAAGGAGCTGCCTCACTTTTCCTCTCCTAAGGAAGTGGAAGTTCTGCCTGAGTGTCCTCTCCAAGTGGTCTTCCCAACCCTTGTCCCTTCTGTGACAGCCCTTCCTTCACTCCCTGCAGGGGTCCCATATTCTGAAGACAGCGTTGACAACCCTATTCCCCTCCGGGAAAAACTCCCAGGTGCCTCAAGATACTCACAGATATAGCCAGCCCCCGAGTCCCAAGCCGCCGCAGGAGCTGAAGGCCAGCCGGGCCCAAGCCTCGACTGGGTCCCCAGATTCGAGCCGCACCAGCAGCCAACGCCATCTTGACTAACAACCCCTTTGGCGATCCGCCCCTCACCTCGGCCAGACTGGGGGCTGCCCCTTCACGAGCCTGACTCAAATGCCAGCACCACCCTGCAAAGAAAGCACCTGCTACTAGTCCTGAGGTCTCTAGGATACATATGAGTGGACAAAACAACTAGTTTCCCAAAAATTACCCTGATGGCCTCGTCGTAATTGTTTTTGTGACAGGCAGAGAAGAGGGCAACCTGGCCAGTGGCTCAAGATTTTAAGGCCCGGGGGCCTCGGGTAGGACAAGCCCTTGCCAAGGACCGCCCCCTCTTCGCTACTGTCCAATGGCTTTCCTGGAATTTTGAGGCGGGAGTGGGTGGGGTCAAATTGTTAGTAAACTGGGAGACACGTGCGGGCCTAAGACTCTGGCGAACCCGGATTGGCGCGTGCGCACTGGGTACGCAGCCGGGACGCCGGCGCGCGCTTCCGCGCGGAAGCGACTGCCTGCGTGGTGTCGGCGCACGGAGCGGGCGATGCAGACCGACGCCAAGATGCGCGCTGAGTACGGGACAGATTCCTGCCCTCGGGGCCCCGGCTGCAGCCTCCGGCACTTTGCTTGCGAACAGAACCTGCTGTCCCGGCCGGATGGCTCTGCTTCGTTCCTGCAAGGTGAGAACTTAATCCAGCTAGATACTGCCGGGGCCACGTTCATCGAGGTATTTGTTTTATGGAACGGTTACGGTGTACCATGCAAAGGAGTGCCCATCTCCTCCGACACTAGCCGGTAAATGCCCCTCCTGGACTCGTACAGAACTTCCCCGGGTGAATACTACTAGAGACTGTAGGGTACGTCTCTCTCCGTCCCTCCCGACTTGAAGGGAGAAGGTATCAGGAGAGAGGGGCAGACCTCCCCACAAGCATGAATACGCCAGAATAGGGGGGCAAATCTCACCAGAGTAAATAACCCCCTTAATTACATTCCTCCTCCGCCTCCCACACACACATACCCTGGGTCCGTACATCCCAGACCGAAGCAAATCTGCCTGTTTGCATAAATACCCCGTGGACTGGCAGATCACCATGACCGGCTTAATTACTCCCTGCCATGGCAGACCTTTCACCCAAGTACATAACTTTTCAGATTGAGGGTGATTTCCACACCCTGGGTTGAGAAAGATTTTCCCCATCCTGCCCCGCCAATTGGGTAAATATCCCTTTGACGGGAATACACTTCTCTCCACATGAATAAATATCCCGAAGATTGGGGTTGATCTTACCTATTGGGTAAATATCCCCTTCCTCTAGCTAAATACTTTCAAACTCCCTGACCCAGGTAAATATTCCTCTGGAGGTAGGCTTAAGGCTGATGCTCTTAGAGGGGTTGCAGGTTCAATTCCAGGTCAGGGCGCTTGCCCGGATTGCAAGCTCTCTCCCCCAGTAGGGCACCTGCTGGAGCATAGGCAGCCAATGCCCCAGGCACCCGATTGATGATTCTCTCTCTTCATTGTTTCTGCCTCTCCCTCTCCCTCTCTCTGAAAACAATAAAAAACATTTTCCAAAAAAAATTATTTCTTAGAAGTTTTCTAAAAAAGTTTGGAAGCCTCTGCAGCAGTCCAATCCTTCTCAGGTGTCCTGACTGCTACAGAGTTTGGGGACAAGAGCCTGAGGGAGGGAAGAAGAAAGTGGGGCTAAGGAAGCTTTGGGAGAAGGCAAGACCAGCTGCAGTAAGAGAGAGGAAGCTTAGCTCTCAGGAAGAACTTCCTGTTAAAGTTAATAATATGAGCTAAAGTCTGTCGCATACTCAACATGTACCAGACATTGTCCTGGATTCTCTCATTTAACTCTCATCAGGTGAGGATTTTACAGATGAGGAAGTGGAGGGAGAGAATGAAGCAAGTACTCAAAAACAATCACTGCCAACAAATGGTGGGCTAGAGTGATGGGGGGAACCCTGGGCATCAGGCTCACTGCCCACACTGTTAAGTGCCTCATAGTGGGCCCCAGAGGCGGGGCCCACATGTGAGTGAGACATCCATACTCTCCTCAGGAGATACCTCCGTCCTAGCAGGCGTGTATGGGCCGGCAGAGGTGAAGGTCAGCAAAGAGATCTTCAACAAGGCTACACTGGAAGTGATCTTGAGACCAAAGATCGGGCTGCCTGGTAATTGGGTCTCCACATGTCCATTCTGTTGGGACTTCTGGCCTGGCTCCACTATCCCCTTGTTTCCCCTCAGCTATTTCTGTCTCTTACTCCAACTCTGCCTCTGAGTCTCTGAGTCTGTGTTTCTGTTAACTTTTCTCTTTGTCTCTCTGAGTCTTCTCTTCCCTTCCTCTTTCCTGGCTCCATCTGCCCTTCTTTCCATTAACTTGTTTTTCTGCCTTTTACCCCCTATCTCCCTCACTGCTGGGGACTGGGCCCACTCGGATGGGCCAGGGCAGCAGCATGGGACACGGGAACTCTGGGGTTGTCCTCCTCCAGGAGGCTCCCTTGCTAGATGCTGGAGGTGGCAGGAGTGGGGTGAGTGGCAGCCAGGCCCTGCCTCCTGCCCACTCGGAATTCTGTCATCCATGCAGGGTCCTGCACCAACCCAGACTGAGACTGCAGGTCCTTTCCAGAGGCCTGGGTGGGGCATATGCAGGAAGAAAAGAACTGACCCCTCTCCACCCGATTTCCCCAGGTGTAGCGGAGAAGAGCCGGGAGCGGCTGATCAGGAACACGTGTGAAGCAGTGGTGCTGGGGACGCTACACCCCCGCACCTCCATCACCATCGTGCTGCAGGTCATCAGCGATGCTGGCTCTGTATCCTTTCCCCCAAACTGCCTCCTCCGGGAAGTCCTCCAGAATCTCCCTAATCGCCTCCCTTGCTGATGGAGAAGACCTCCAAACACTTGAAAGGCACCAACTTGTTGAAAAAGAATAACAAATAGCTTGAGTGCTTACTGTGTGTCAAGCACTAATCTGAGTGCTTTACACACGTTAACCATTTAATCTGCACAGCAGAGTCAACTCACATAACTAGTAATTGGTAGAGCCAGGACTTAAATGCAAGCCATCTGGTTCCACAACCCAAGGTCCCTGGCAGATGAATGTTCTTATGTTCCCATGTTGCAGGTGAAGAAACAGATCCAGAGAGGGGAAGTCACTTGACGAAGGTCACACAGCTGAAGGCAGCAGACAAAACTCATGCCCACTCCTGACTCCAAAGCCTGTGCCATTGACCTCCATTCTTACCCTGAGCTTAGATTTGAGGTTTGACCCTGGGGGAGCCCTGAGCAAGCAGAGGAGTTGGGCCAACAGCTCATCCTTGCAAGATCCCTATGGTTTGGGCAACAGGGTGAGGCTGAAGACCAGAAACAGACATTTCTAGAAGGACTCACTGGTGCAGGCACTTCATAGATGGGAGGAGGGAGGACATGCTCTGCTGACCAGCTCTGCACTAGAAACTCTTAACCACTCCCTGTGGCACTCAGCTCCTGGCCTGTTGCCTGAACGCTGCCTGCATGGCATTGGTAGACGCAGGTGTGCCCATGCGGGCTCTCTTCTGTGGTGTCACCTGTGCCCTGGACTCTGATGGGACCCTTGTGCTGGACCCCACAGCCAAGCAAGAAAAGGTAGGTATGAAGCCAGGGTGGTGAAGGGCCGTGGGCAGACCCTGTCCCTCTCCTCTAGGCCGCGCTTTTCCACAACAGTTGGCTCAAACCAGCTTAGTCCCAACTGGCAGTCTCTGCTCTGCTCTTCAGGGCAAGTGCTAGGAACCCAACTCAAACTGCTTGAGCAAAAAGGGAACTGACTGACATTCACTACCAAACTCAGATCAGAAACTGAGCCAGAGCCAGGGCCTCAAATGCCGTCAGGATTTCCTTGCTTCCTTTCCTAGTCCTGCTCTTTTCTGCATATCTGCTCCATTCTCTCTGGCCAGCATCTCTCCTGAGGCTGCAACTGGCCCCTTAAGCTCCGTGCTTACATCCTAAGAGGCTCAGAAGCAGAGGAGAGAGCGGTCCTCATTGGCTCACGTTCAGTGTCCTGAGGCTGTGGTTTCTCTGAGTGATTTGCCCAGTCACATCCAGTCAGAAAAGCAGAAACCACCTGGGGGTTTCCCACGGAGAGTTTAATGCAGGGAACTGGTTACAGTAGTGTTGGAAGAGCTGAGGGAGCAAAAGAAAAAGGGGGGTCACCCGGAGGTCAGGAGCCTGTAGCCAGCTCCTGCCTGTGCTGTTGGAGGCATCGCTGTGGCCAGTTCTGGGTGCACAGGCGTCCTGGCTTTGCCCTGGCTGCAAAGTCCAGAACCCACCGCACCCTATGGCTACTGTGGCAGCAGCCACAACCACAGCAGCTGCCACTGTCAGAGTGAGGACCCGGATGCTGGTGTCCCTCCTGTGTCTCCCACCAGAGAGGCTAGGAGGCACCTGGTAAATGATGTGCACTATGGCTCCCCCTACAGGGCAGTAATACTGCTTGGAAGCCCGTTAGAACCACATGGATGGAATGAATCCAGAGAAAAGTCAGGGAAGCTGGGAGGGGGTAGGACGTAGACAAACAACCACACTCTGCGCAGGATTGCCCGGCTGCAGGAAAGGCGAGTCCATCCTTTGGGATCAGCCGAGATTGTGTCAGGGGAGAGTCCAGGTCCCTCACCTTCTGTCCCTCATCCCTAGGAGGCCCGGGCAGTCCTGACCTTTGCACTCGACAGCGTAGACCAGAAGCTGCTCATGTCCACCACCAAGGGGCTCTACTCTGATGCTGAGGTACCAGCGTGTGGATGCAAGGGAACCCCAGCTCCTTCCCCCTGACGTGTTGTCCCCACTCTGCCCTGCACTCTGGTTTAAGGAGAGCCCCCTCTTTGCATCCCTTCTGCAAATAGGAGTTTGTAAATTTGTAGCCACAGAAACCTCTGTGGGAATTTTAAAAGGGAAACCCAATTAATGAGATAGGAAGAGAAGAGGAGCTCTGAGTTTCCAGAGCTCCAATCTCTCCCAGCTGTCAGGATGCCTGATTCCACTGGTGTGAGGTCAGGATGCCTGATTCCGTTGGTGTGAGTCCCTGAAGCTGCCGGAAACTGGCCCCTGAATCCCTCACCTTCTCTTCTTTCCTTCTCTTCCCCTATAAGAGGCCCTGAAGTGGGGAAGGAGATGCACTTGGAATAATCCCCTCCCCACCTGTCTCCCTTGGGGATGAGGTGCCCAGGTGAAGAGGGAGGTGGTAGGTTTGGGGGCCCTAGAAATCAGGTGGGACAGCCAGGTCCTGTGTGGGTGCAGGGATGGGCCCTGCACTGACCAGCCTCTCCCTGCCCAGCTCCAGCAGTGCCTGGCTGCAGCCCAGGCTGCCTCACAACACGTCTTCCGCTTCTACCGGGAATCGCTGCAGAGGCGTTACTCCAAGAGCTGAGGCAAGCTGGGGCATGGTGCCCCTCCCGCCGCCACCACCCACTACCTCCAGAGCAAAATAAACCAGCGGCCCAGCCTTGCTGCTCTGTCCTTGTGTACCCGGGGATGACCTGAACCACCCCAGGAGAGCACTTGACTGCAGCCCCCAGGGTTGAGGGGACACAGACACCCTCACACACACTGGGAAAACACAACTAGGATTGCACGTTTACTGAATGAATTCACTTAGTCTAACAAATATCTGTGGAGCACCCACCTGTGCAGGCCCTGCCAGGTCCTGAGGACCCGGCAGTGAATGAGAAACCCAGGTCCCAGGTTCAAGGAGCAGTGGGGTGGTGGGCAAATAAAATTGGTGTTTGTCAGATGATGGTGAATGCTGTGACAAAACATAAAAGCAGGGAAGAAGGGTTTGGGCAGGCTTGGGGAAGGCAAATTTATACAGTCAGGGACACCTTCACGGAGAGGGGGACATCTGAGGGAAGCTAGGAGGCGGCCAGGCAGTAAGCTTATGGACACATGGGGACAAGCCCCAGAGAGAAACCTGTGGAGGTGGAGAACCAGCAAGGCAGCCAGTGTGGCTGGAGCTGAGCATGAGGGCAGATGGTCGGGGAGAGTGTGGGTTTGGGGGGCAGGGAGCTGTCTCTCAGGCCTAACAACCCAGGGAGGTGGGGCTGTTGTTACAGTCATTTTAAGATGAAGAAACAAACTTCGACACCAGTTAGCTGCCAGAGGTCACCAGCTAGTCAGCAAAGGCACATGGGTCCCACTCAGCCCGGCCCCAGGACCTCGCAGTTCACACAAACCCAGAGAGAGGCTAGCGCGCTCTGGACTGCAGCTCCCCATCTGCGCAGGGAAGTGACAGTCCTGTGGTTATCAGGCTGGTAGCACCCCCTAGGGGGCATTTGGAAATACAGGGGGACATTTTTAGTTGTCATCTGACTGCTCCTGATTCTTTTATTTAGTGGGCAGGAGCCAAGACTATGTGAGCATCAACCAAGGAATGGCTCCCACAACCAGGCCACGTGGTCACTGGATCCCATCAGCCACTGGTGTTTGGGGGTTTGTGATGGGCCCTGTGCCACATGCTTCATGTGTTTGAGCTAGTTTACACATTTCCCATAACTGCCTCTTTGAGCGGTGTCATTTTCTTCCCAGGAAATGAATAAATATGTTTAGCTTGCAATTATGCTCCATGAAACACTCAGCGGAAAGCCAAATGGGGAAGTGTTTTAGGAAGAGGCACTCGAATGGCATTAAACAGTGAGAGAACCAAATTGTCACTCATTACCTGGTAATATCGAGCTCCGTTTAGTGAGCACGTCTTCACCCCTCGGAAGCACTGCTCATGGCAGACACTTGGGTTTGCCTGCCAGAAGCCAGCGCTTTGATACCACCTTAAGTAAAGCTCCATCCCCCCAATGCCAGGCTGTGAGATTCAGTGGGAGCTGCCTTTGAGTGGGCCCCTGGGAAAGGTGACCTCTGGGGTCCTTTGAGTTGCTGGGGCCATTTCTCCCCCAGAAGGGAGAGCCTGCATGGAATGAAGCCCTGAGGATGGGGATATTTGAGCCCCAAGTCCTCTCCCTCATCTTTCTTCCCTTTCTGTATGTGTGTAAGGCAACCCGAGTTGAGTTTCTGCCACTTGTTGAAAGAGCTCAGAGGGACACTGCCTTTTACATGTGTGACCCATTTCCCAGGTGGGGAAAATTCAGTCCCATTTTGTAGATGGCAAAAGCGAGGCTCAAAGAAGTCACTCGGGCCAAGGTCACACCGCTAACGCGTGGAGTAAGTCCTAGGCGCCTGGCTTGAATTCTCTGCTGACCACCCTCAGTTGCAAAGAGAACATTCTGCAACTTGAAAACCCTGGGCCCCTCGCCTTCTCCCTTGTCCAGCTCTGAGGTGTCCCGGAGCACCCTGGGGACAGCCTCTCAGGGGCCCCGAGCCCCACCTCCCACCGCGCACAGACTGACACAGGTTTGACTGCAAGAGCTTCTGGGGTTTAATCTCACGCTGCAGTGGCCGGGAAGGGCAGGGCGCTGTCCAGCTCAGTCCCAGTGCTGGATGCCAACGCTGCCACATCCACCCGGATTCTCCATTCTGTCCCAGTACGCTCTCGGCCACCGGCCTCTGGTTCACGGTGGGGGCCGCAGGGGCAGCTAGGGCGGGTCTCGGGAGGCGAGGTAGGCAGCCAGGGTCACCAGGGCTGCCACATATGTGCACATGCCCAGCCCGATGGCCAGGACCCCCAGCAAGAAGGCGCGGCGGGAGGCAGCCCCTGCCCCCTGGACGTCCCCCTTGGCCCAAGCCTTGTTGGTCTGTGGAGGTGTTGAGCATCAGGGACTCGGGCATCCCCTCTGCCTTCCCTGCTTCCTGCAGCCCCAGCCCCTTCCCCACGGGACACACCCATGCATTCACTCATTCACTAAAACGGAGCATCACTGGGGGTCAGGCCAGTTGGGCACTGGGGATACTAGGTGACTAATAAAACACATATGCTAGTGTATGGCACCGCTCTAACTCATTTGATCCTCACAATGAGCCAGAGGCAGGAATTACTCCAGTTTTGCCGATAAGGAAATGAGGCACAAGGAAGTTAAGTAAACTGCTCACAGGGAGTGGCAGACCTACGATCTGAATTCAGGTTTTTAACCACCACTTGGCAGCCCTCTGTGAAACACCTCATTTTACCCCTGAATGTTTCCATGTGAATCCTCTCCATTTTTGTCCCCTGGGAATAGCTGTTCTGCTTTGTTTTCTTATCCAGTCCCCTCCCAGCTCCCCCCCCCAACTGACCTTCTGGGCCAGGCAGAAGGCAGCGATGCCCACAGGCCAGAAACAGCACAGCATGGAGAAGACAGCCAAGCCGAGGTGGTCATGGGGTAGGAGTGGGGAGAGAAGGCTGACCCCATCCCAGTCTGAGTCGCTGTCACTTGATGCATCCTACAAGCAGGAGAGGGCTTGGGTGGTTGTCTCCACTCACCTTCCCTGCTCTGCTGCCCTGTTCCCCATAGCCCCCAAAGACCAGTACCAGGGCCTCCCCAGAAACACCAAGATAAAAATGTTCCAGGAGACAGGCTCTTGACCTTTCTGTATCCTGGATCCCTTTGAGGGGAAGCCTTGGTCCATGTCTCCAGAGAAGAGCCCCACCCACATCCAAAGCTCTGAGGTCAATTTTGGAGTTCACAGATGCAACTGCATATGATCTCTGAGACAAATGCCCCTGAACTAGAGACAGACACCAGTGGGGACAGGAGCCTGCAAGAAGATGGACATTAGGAGAAACAGCTCTGGTGGCCTCAGTTACTCAGACAAACCTGCTTCCTGAAACTGTTGATCCTAGATTAAAAATTTCTTTTTAATCTTGCATCAAACAGCTCATAAGACTAAGGAGTCACTGCAAGGCCAAAAGTGAAATGAATATCAACGTTAACAGAGAGGTCGAATGAACAGAGGCAGCCTCTTTTTGCTGTTTCTGGGAGGGCATTTGCCAATCCCAGAAAAATTAGCCTTTTAATCAAACCCTGAACTAGATTAAAAATGATCTTTAACTGCTAATGCCTCCAGGCAGCTCACAGAAGCAAACTAAATCCTCTCCGGAGGGAAGGTACCTTCATTCTAGGCCTCAAAAAAATTTTCCAAATATGATGACCAGCATGCAGTCAAAGATAACCAGGTACATAAGGAATCGGGAATGAGAATGAACAAAAATGTAAGACCTTCACAATTTTCAGGCACATACAACGTCAGCGGGATGCCTACTGCTACAATGTGGCAGACTGTGTTTTCCAAATATGGCCAAAACCATCTCTCCCATCCCACGTGCTCTTCCTTTTAAAAAAAAAAAAAATGTTTTTATTGATTTCAGAGAGAGGACAGGAGAGGGAGAGAGAGAAACATCAATGATGAGAGTCATTGATCCACTGCCTCCTGCATGCCCCCCACTGAGGATCGAGCCCGAAGCCCCAGGCCTGTGCCCTGACTGGGAATCGAACCTCGATCTCCTGGATCATTGGTCAATGCTCGACTACTGAGCCACACCGGCTGGCCGCATGTTCTTTTTAAAGTGTGACTCATACTCTTACTATCAAGGAGAGGTCTATGTCCCCTTTCCTTGAATCTGGACAGGCTATGGCTCACTTATGATTGACAGAATGTAGTGGAAGTGATACCACATGACTTCCTAAGTCAGAAAGGTTAGACACTCGTGCTGGAGACAGGAGACACATAAGGAGTCCAACTGCCCTGAAACCAACATGCTGGAAGGAAGCCTAAAGCAGCCCACATGGGGAGACGCATGTAGAGACCCCAAGACTACATGAAGAGAGATACCAACCAGCCCCTGACTATTCCAGGTCTTAGCCACTGGCTCACTGCAACGTCATGAAAGACCTTGAGGCAGAACCACCCAACCGAATCCTTCCCAAATTCCTTACCCAAAGAAACCGTGAGTGATAATAATGATGGCTATTGTTTTAAGCTACTAAGTTTTGCAGTGATTTCTTATACAGCCATAGTAACCAGGAAACCCAATTTAAGAAATAAAAGACAAGAAAAAAGCAATTATAAAAGTGACATTTTTTTAAAAAGAGACCACAGCAGCCCTGGCTGGTGTTGCTCAGTGGTTAGAGCATCGGCCCATGCACCGAACGGTTGTGGGTTAGATTCCCAGTTGAAGGCAACATACCTGAATTTCAGGTTCCATCCTGGCCCCTGTCAGGGCGCGTGTGGGAGGCAACCAATCGATGTGTCTCTCTCCATCCCTTCCACTCTCATTAAAAATCAATGGAAAAAAATATCCTTGGGTGAGGGTTAGCAAACCAACAAACAAAAGAGATCACAACAGACAGAGGCCAGTGGTGCATGGGATCTGGAGAGAGATGGACACACAGAGAGCAAGGGAGTCAGAAATCAGAGCGAAGACAGAGTCAAAGCCGAGGGAACAAAGATGACAGGCAAATCTGGAGAGGAAAAGCTAAAGAACCCAGGGGAGAAGGGGAACAGGAAAAACACAACGGGAAATCTAGGAAGCCCACGTGCAGCTCAGAAGTGAGACTTTAGGCCAAAGGCAGGTACCCTAGTTGCCCCAGCCTATCCGATGTTGACCACAGCTGGAATCTCCTCCAGCCCCCTCCCCCTGCTCCCACTAAGGCCTGCTGCTCCTACCTCCAGGTCAGGGGGCCCCGGCTGCCCCAGACCAGCGCTCACAGAGGGAAGAGGTGGCGGAAGAAACTGCCAATCCCTTAGGGACTTTGCAAAGGCTGTCTCTCCAAAGGGGGGCCCCGGCTCAGGCTCACCAGGCTTCTGAACAGGGGGGTTGGAGCCTACACCTGCCAGCAGAGGGTGTCGAAGTTCTTGAAGACTGGGGCTGTCCATGCCTTGGAGAGACTCCCAGAGGGGCTTCCTGGAGTAGGGGAAAGAAAAAAATTTGTAAAAACCTCACCTTCATCCGTCCCCCGACTCCTGACCCCAGAAAGACTCCAGGCAGAGACTAGTTAGTTCAACCCTCAGACCCATATTACAGATAGTAAAACTGAGGCCCAGAAAGTAAAAGAGGCCGGCCCAAGTTATAAAGAGAATTCAGGGGTCTGGACGTTCAACTCTGGGCTTCTCTGTCCTCAGGCAAAAGCCGCATAACTGTGGCACACTTATTCCAAACCATGCCTTACACACTGACTTGCCCCCTGAACTAACTACACACCATCCTCAGTTCACATACCATCCGTCTTCCCCATACCTCACCCAGTGACACTGCACTTTACTATAGTTCACTCTTCCTGTGCCCCCCAAGCCTGCAGGCTCTCAATACCCAAGCCCCTGGCCCAGATACCCCTCCGGACAAGGCCAACCCTCACCTCCATCTACATGCATTCATCTCCCAAGGGACTCCTTGCATACTTGCCCCAGGCAACATCAGCTCCCAGAAAATACCCTCTGGAGCCCCCAACCTTCTTACACACTCATCCTAAGCGGCTCCTTGCACACTCCTAATCTCCCCAGCATCAGATCCCCCCATGTGCACACATACGCACAAGCTTCCCACACATGCACCCGGGGACACTCTCCCCTGTTCCCATCACTTCCCTTGCACACCTGCCCCCAAATCCGGCCCATACACCCCTCGCCTACTGCACTCACATCGATGACCCCACACAACCCCCTGCGCACCCACCAGATCCCGGGCACCTCCCGTTTTACGAGAATCCACCTTGGCACACCTACCCCATAACACCCCCAAACCACCACACACTCGTACGTATTTAACAAAGAATATTCTCCTCGCCCTACAGCCCCCTGGGCTCCCCCTCCAAGGCTCCTGCCCTCACTCCAAACCTGGTTTGGGCCCACTTCCTCACCAAGGGTTTGCCTACCCATCGCCAGCGCGGGGCCCAGGGGGAGGGGCGGTGCTCCTACCTGCGCCCCCCACTCACTGCACACGGCCCGAGGCCGGGGCCTCCTGGGCCCCTGCACTGACAACCACCCCGACCCTGCCGCGGGGCGCGGGGACCTCAGTGAGCCCCACGCTCCCGGCCCCAGCCTGGGGGCGCCGGGTCTGCGCTTCTGGCCTCGCTC